AACGATAAAAATCTCTACGGACATCGAACGCCACATTCCACGCCACAACGCCCCTCCTAATGCTAGGGATCGAACACGCGTACCATATGGTCATCCGCGAGCATGGCCTATAACCTAATGCCCTAACAAAGCATAACACGGAATATGAGCTACAAATACCACCTTCTACGCTCACCTGCACCATAAGGTCAGATGTGATGACCTTTGCCACACACACTTCCACAGAGAGGTGCGTGGCTCTAATCATAGAGTCGCGGCGGGCTGCATATGGTATAAGGACGGAGTTAAGGCTATGATAATCTCGGTTATATCACGGTACTGGTCATTACACCTGTTACTTCAAGATTACGTACCCGATAGAGATATTCGTAGGTACGTGTGCTTTGAATTGACATGTTTGCGAGAATAGAATAGTTTATGGTCCCGAGTTTGTAAAATAGTAACGTTGAAACCATTAAGCTTCGTTGATAAATTTTACAGCTCATTGCTCAGACAGCGTATGAGGGAGAATTGATCACTAAGGAACATCGGTCAATGTGCTGTGAATTTAAAGGGTGCGTGGAAGGTGCGGTACACAAGAGCTTGCACAAAGAGACACACAAAACATACATAACACGCGCGAGGGCAACAAACACACGAACGCATCCACAAGGGCGAACGCACGCACACACACACACGCAAACCCGAAAGCTTCTCTCTCTTTCTTCTTATCTCTTACTTCCCTCCTCCGTGTCAATCAACCAAGAATTCCCTCTTTCTCCTCCTTCTATTTCCTCCCTGCCTCCTCTGCTCCGTCACCCCCTTCCTCTTTTCTCCCCCCCCCCCATCCCCCCTAATCGCTGGAGTGGGTCGAGCATGGCGGGCGGGGCGGCTGGAGAGTGGGTGGTGGGAGAGGGGAGAGGAGGAGTGGCGGTATGATGGGGAGGGGGGAGGTGGAGGCGGTATAGTGGGGTGAGGGGGCGAGGCGAGGGGTGAGAGAGGAGGGGAGGGGCCCGCGATTGGCAGAGGGAGGAGGGGAGTGGAGTCGCGATTGGGAGAGGGGAGAGGGAGGGGGAGCGATGAGGGGCGGGGGAGGGGTGCCAGGAGACGGACGGGGAGGAGGTGTTCTTGTGGTCGTCGGTGCGCTATGGGTTCGGTGCAATACCGGTCTCGCGTTCTGACACGTGGCTCGTGACTTCCGCTTGGGTTTTCGCGTTCGGGTGTTCTCTCTCCATGTTTTCACCGGACTATTTCGCGTTTTACCTATATTTTTCGCATCGTGGTGCAACGTCAAGATACCATATGCAAAATCCCCGTGCAACGAATGTTCGAACGCTTCGTAAATGAGAGATGAAAGGTCGAACACGGTCTCCGAACGCCGCATTCTCTATCCGCAACGTGAACTATGGGACCACGAAATTATCCGGAACACGGCCAACGAAAAAACGTTTAATAGCAATTTTTCCACGGCTTGGACCATGAAATTCCCCCTTATCTCGGCCCGTTTTACCCAAATGGATGGAGGCATATTATGAGTTTGCGAAAGGCTTGGCCCAAGGGTGTCAGCTTCTTCAGAATCCATCGTCGCGTTTTTCAAAGTTACTGAAGCATGGTTGACACACCACTGCGAGTGTTCAAGCGCTCGAGTTTCAGAGCTGAACATCACGATAAGAGTTCCGATTCATTCATTAATTCTGAGATTTAAGTATTTGTTTTTATTTTCGTATTAGGGTTCGTGCGCGATGCCTCCTTTCTCTCCTCTGACAAGGGACTCGTGGCTAATACCATAATTATGCTTAGATTATCAACTTCGCTTTCATTTCAGTTCTTACGGGATGATCATTATCGGTTGATCCGAGAAAGATTTAGAGGAAGTGAAACCAATGATTGCAATCTACAAACAAGCAAAGAGCATACGAGCAGGCAGGCAGTCATATAACTCATTCCAGCAGACGAACGCAGTGGAAAGGATGACGGCGGAAAGACGTGGGTGGAGGAACCAGCGGGTCGCCAGGGGTCACTGCCGCACCTGCCGGAGCCGTAGACCTTCCTCCTTCAGCGCAGAGGACCCAGGTTTGCTTGGTTTCCCGTGGGAAATTTCAATGCTAACAAAGAAGCGATCTTAGACAGCGCGCATACTTTTCATCTGCCTTCCCGTGGGAAAATCACCGACGACGTGGGTGACCTCTTCACGGTACAAACAATTTTAATTAACACGGTTTTCACCCGCGACGGGAAACTTGTCCATAACCACAGGGTTCGCCAGAAGGCACTATCACTCATGGATGTTCATAACTCCAACTTCCGTTTTCACCCGCGACGGGAAACTTGTCCATAACGCCAGGGCTTCGCATTCGTTTTCCCAGTGACTATCACTACAACATCATGCCATGGGATGTTTCTGCTTTACACACAAAAAGATCCGCAAAGTGATATAAAACTGAAGTAAAATTCATCATGGAAGAGAGAGAGGGAGAAAGGGCGAGAGAGATAAAGAGAGAGAGGCAAAGACGGCGAGGATGTCTGCCTGTGGGTTACGTCCCTCGCGCCGCGCTCATTACCGTTTCCTCTTCCATCTGATTATCGAGTGCAAGAAGACGGAACTAGCGGGACAGGGGCGCCACCACAAGGAGGCGAGGGCGGCCGTGGACAGGAAGCAGCGGTGAGCTTCCTGACTGCCCCGGGCGCTCGGGTGTAAAGGGTTACACCTCACTTTTTTCCTGTCGGGGTGAAGACCATCATTTTGGTCTGAGTTTACTTACACCGAGGGCAGATGTCAAGCAATTTGTGAACTATGGCTTCGAGAACCCTCCTGCACTTTTTTTGCTTGTCTCCTTGTCTTTGGAGTTTCCCTTCTGTTTTTCTTATTTTTTTTTTATTCTTTGATGTATTTGAAGTCTCAAAAGTATATACACATAATGGTGTATTTTAATGTATTAAAAAATGGATACGTTTTTTTGGGAGAATTTTGCAAAGCGGATTTCACGTCCCCCCCCCCCCCCCCCCCCACACACACTCTACCCCAGCACTTGCAAAAACAAGCTAAAGCCCAGTGCAAACTTAACATGTACCTATACAACACATAATACACACCTATATATAACAATACACATAGGTATACATACATACACACACACAAATATATACATATACAATACATTATCACACACATAATATATATATATATATATATTATATATATATATGTGTGTGTGTGTGTGTGTGTGTGTGTGTGTGTGTGTGTGTGTGTATGTGTTCATTGTGCACAAACACACACACACACGCAAAACACTCACACATATATACACATATATGTACTCTCACTCTCACTCTCTCTCTCTCTCTCTCTCTCTCTCTCTCTCTCTCTCTCTCTCTCTCTCTCTCTCTCTCTCTCTCTCTCTCTATATATATATATATATATATATATAATATATATATATATATATATATTTATTTATCTATATTCATATATATATATATATATATATATATATATATATATATATATATATATATATATATATATATATATATATGTGTGTGTGTGTGTGTGTGTGTATATATATACATAATAAATACTTATTTATATATCTATTCCTTTAATCATTTATGTATACGTATGTGCTATGGCGGCCCCTTCCTAGCCAAACAGCAGATGCCAAACCGAGCCCCGCCGATCCCTCAGGAGCGAACGGCGTTTCAGCGAACTAAACCCTCGGCGCAGGTGCTGGAGGAGTGTCCTTCGCCCTGTCCGGCGTCAGCTCAGTTCCTGCGGCGTCCTTCGCGTCAGTCACAGGTCCCGACAGGCGTCCCCCTTGCTTCCCTCGGCGAGGCGACGCGGGTATGAACCTGCGTGCAAACGAGGGACTGCAAATGTTCGGTTGTTGGGGCGACTCTGTCAGAAATTCGGGTGGGTGGTGGTGTGTGTGGGGGGGGGGGGCGTTGTCCAGCCGCCAGCAGCCATTAGGGCTCAAAGTGGCCGTAAGAGAGATGGCTGCAGATGTCAGGCAGATGGCGTGGCGGATCCAAACACCTTTCTAAAGAGCGTGATAAGACAGGTGTCAGCCGATGTCAGACGAATAGCAAGCAAGTGTCGGCAGATGTCAGGCAAGAATAACCGAGGGTCGAACACGTGACCTCAAGTGCAAAACCTGTTCGCCGCGTTGCTTTTATAAAAGGGGGAGGAGGGAAAAAATAAACTCTTTATGAATAATATCGAATTTCTTCTTTTTGTTCTCGTTTTTTGTGACACGTGTCGTGATAGGTCAGGTCTCGAGGGGGGACTAAGGTAGTATTCTCTCGATGTTTGGGCTCATCCGGCTGTCCAGTCTGCTCGAGAAAAACGGGGCGATACATGCAAAGATTAAAATTTACAGTTATTTTCCCTTCTTTACTTTTGTGCAAATCATGGCGGAGAAAAGTAAATTTGGATTCTTAAAGTGAGTTTCACTTTATCCGAAAGGATAGTTTCTCCAGTTATTTCCTGGTGAAAACAGGACAAAACCGATAAATTCCGCTTGAGTTCCAAACATATTCATATACACTATGTATATATATATATATATATATATATATATATATATATATATATATATATATATATATATATATATATATATATATATATATATACTATATATATACATACATACACACGCACGCACACACGCATACATATATAAAGGTGTGTGTGTGTGTACCTA